GTGGGAGTGTGTGTGTGTGTGTGTGTGTGTGTGTGTGTGTGTGTGTGTGTGTGTGTGTGTGTATAAATATTTGAGGCCAAAATGAATATCTGCTGATAATCTGTGCATACTACTTGGCTTACCCACCCTTCAAATTAACACGTGACAGAAATGATCACAAACATTCAGCCATCCCACTGCACCGGTGGTAGCGTGAAACGGTAAAAGATCAAACATACAGTCAGTAGACTTGGGTTTGTGAAACCCACTCTGCTCCCCCCTCAGTTTTCTTTTGCCTCTGTGGGTAATGAATTATTTAACCTCTGAGTTTCATTCTTCTAATCTGTTAAATGGAAATAACATCATTTACCAGATTTACTGTGAAAAATCAAATGAAATATTGCATATGGGAGGACCTAAGACATAAAGGTATTCAGTAAGTCTCTATATTATTAATTCCTATATATATTTAAAGTATAATATTCATCCCCATTTGCGTCTTTTGACCTTATAATATGCAACAATTTGTAGAATGACATGGGCGAGGGGGATGGAGAAAAAAACCCCACAAATCTTCTCAACTAGCAATTCTCTTCCTCCTCCTTGAAAAATTATGAACTGCTAGACTATGGTAGTCTTACATTTATCAGAGCACCTAGCTACAAAACCTATGTTCTACAAAATGTGAACTGGAAAGTGCTGAATTAGGTATGAATATTGAACCAGCCCACTAACCTTTATTTTTGCCCGTAGGCAATCCTCCTCCCATCCATTTTGCAATCTATTCTCCTGTTAATCTTTGTAAATCACTGATGCGACCAAATCACCTGTGGGCTCAAAACTATCAATATCTTTTCAATGCTGATGGAATGAAGGTCTAATAACAGATTAAGGAAAGGAGTGATCTATCATTTACTAAGTGCTTACTATGTTCATACACTGCTAGGTGATTATCTAAGGTCCCCATTTTATGATTCTAAAGCTTACCATAAAAAGCAGTGTGTGATAAATGGCATGATCTATATTACTATGAAATTACTACAGAGGAACAGGATACTTTAGGCTATGATGTCTTAAAGGTGCAGGCTTTCTACAGGCTTTGAAAAGATTTTGATGGGAGAAAGGTTTCATAGACTTGGGATATGATGATGACAAATCCAATTCCTTATCTTATGAATCCTTTTTATTGTCCCAGAAAATATATGCATCGAGTCACTAAGTGAACACCTTCAGTGATGCAGAGAGAGTCCAAAAAAGGCAGCTCATTTTATTGTCAATGATCAGTATGATAATTAATAATAATGACGGATAATGTTTACTAAAATATCAACATTTGCTATAAGTATGAGAAAATGTGCTAAATATTTTACATGCATTATTTCACAAAATACTTAAAAAATACTATGAGATACGTAGCATTAGTATACAAAAAGAAAACAGAAGGGTTAAGTGTTTTAATCAAGATCTCTTGGCTAGTAAGTGACAAAATTAGAAACTGAATCTAGACTACTCTAATCAAAAAGAATTGTGCACATTGTAGTAAATTAATTTTGTTTCACTCCATGAAGAGATGATCACAGCACACTATAATACAAGTAAGCACTGGGTACTCTGGAAGCATCTAAGCTAGCCTAGAGGAGTTAAAGAGAGGTTGTGCCTAAGATAAATCTTGAAAGCTGAGAAGGAGCTAGGACAGGAAGGAGAAGAACGGTGTCCTAAAGCAAATGGAAGGGCGAGAGAGCATGGTATATTTAAAGAACTCTAAGTAGTTCAGTATGGCTAAGGACAGGGGAAAAATGGGATAGTGGCAAGACATAAAGCAGATGAGTTAGAAGGTACAGCTTATAAAAAGACCTTGTGCACTAGAGGCAAAGGCATTCGGTTTTAATAACCTGAGTGTACTGAGGCAACACTGAAAAACTTCCACTGGGAGATGAGTTGGGGGAAGATTAGAAGGATTTAATTTAATTAGAGAACTCATAAGGGCCCAGAGTGAGGTTGGAAGGGAAGAGAGATGAAAAAAATCAAGAATTAACAAGAATTGTAATTGATCTAATAGCTGGGACAAGGGACAGGGAAGAATCAAGGACAGACTCCCAGTTTCTAGACATTGTGATGGTGAATGATAATGCAAACAAGTAGAGCGTACACATAGAATGGCTACTTTTGAAATTCTTTTTTTTGTTGTTGCATCAAAAGCTACCTCTCTGTGAATTCTCCCTGCAGATACTTGGTCTGTACTCTAGGCAACGGTCTCCAAAGTGCAGTTCCCATGCCTCAGGAAGTCTGCAAGGTGATCTATTACGGTGTGAGAGGAAAGTATAAAAATGTCTATTTCATTTTTGTCTAAAAAATAGGAAATTAAGCTTTTATAAACTATACAGACTCACAATAGTATTTGTATATAATTTAGAAATGATTATATTGGAAGCGTGTACTTATACATCTTTTTTAAACTAACAAGGGTGCTACTAAGGCAACACCATACAATATCATTTATGGTATGCCTATTATATAGCAGGTACAATACTATTTACATACTTCCATTTTACCCTTACAGTTAGTTTGGGTAAATAATAATCCTGATTTAGATGATGGAGACACTGAAATTTTGACTGTAGTCCTTCATGATGTCACTATACATCAATTGCCTAATGTCCCCAAATTACTAAATGGCAGAACTAGAATTTGTTTCTTACTCTAATAGGCCTTTAAATATTTGAAGACAGTGTGTGTCCCCTGAGAGTTACTTTTACTGGGATCGGAGTCCAAAATTCCTTTAAGTGTCCTTTGTAGGTGAGTTTCTGGGCTACGCTAGTCATCCTTGTATGAATGACTTTTACTTCGATCAAGTCCATTTAAAAATGGTATTATTATCCATCCTAAACACAGTATTCAAGATTGGGACTTACTAGTGAAAATCTATAGGGTATGAGTATCACCTTCAAGGAAAAAAATAGGATAAAATCACACTAACAATTTATCTATACACGCAATACCATTTATATTTATCTCATTCCCCTTTGACATATGTCAGTCTACTTTTCCAAAGTGACTGTCAACTTCCCCACGCAGGAGCCTTGAGTGGCTTTCCAGCTCAGCCAGAGAGAAAGCCTAAGCCCTTGTAAAGGCCTAGGAGCCTACATGCTCTGGTTTCCTCTTCCTTCTGTTCCTCCTCTATTACTCTCCTCCTTGCTTACTCTATTCCAACACAAGAGTGTCTTAGATGTTCCTCGGGTCCTCGAGGCACGCTCCCACTTCAGGGTCCGTGAAGTGTCTTCCTTCCTCTACACGGAATGTAAGCTCTATGAGGAAAGGACTTTTCTATGTTTTCTCTACTGCTGTACAGTGCTGCCTGGCACATAGGAAGTGCTCAGTACATGTTTATTAAACAGATAAATAAATGAGAAAAGGAAGGTGTGACCTAATTAGGGGCATGGTATAATATAACGAATGTACGAGTGTAAATTAAAATTCGCAATGCCTGATTTTCTAGCCTGAAATATGATGGAGAAGCACTTTATAAAGAATATGGAGGATTCCTCTAGACCAGCGGTTCTCAACCTTCCTAATGCCGCGACCCCTTAATCCAGTTCCTCATGTGGTGGTGACCCCCAACCATAGAATTATTTTTGTTGCTACTCTATAACTGTAATGTTGCTACTGTTATGAATCATAATGTAAATATCTTTTTGTTTTCCGATGGTCTTAGGTGACCCCTGTGAAAGGGTCGTTCGATCCCCAAAGGGGTCGCAACCCACAGGTTGAGAACCGCTGCCTAAAGCAATCTCGTATAAACAATTTTGACCTTATAGTAAAATTAGCATTTAATAATGAAAGTATCTGAAAGAGAATTAGCTAGAAAGGATGATTAAAGGAAACAATACGATGAATATTAAATATCTACCTTAAGTTATTAAGTAAATGCTTTAAGAGGTCTGGGGATAATCGGCATCATGGTAAGAGTGGAATCTCAGGTCAAACTCTTGGCTTTCTAGCTGTGTAAACTCAGGTAAGTTACCTAACTAGTTTATGTATCACTGTCCTCACGTGTAAAATGGGTATTATAACAATAACTACCTTCACAGTGCTGACGTGATGATTAAATAAGACCATATATGCACTAGCACATATATTAAATGTTAGTTTTTATAAGCATGGTACCTGGCTCATAAGCGCTCAGTAAATATTAGCTATTATTATTATCATCAAATTATAAACTTTTGGTAGTTTATTCTGAAAGTTACTAAACCATAGGTATATCTGGTTAAGGACCATAACATAAATTTTTAAAAAGTACTAGAAATCAATTACCACATAAGAATCTAGCACCTTTAAAACACATTGATTCCAGTATTAAAGTACTATATGTTCTAGTCTACAATACTAACTTTGGATTTTGTTTATAAGTCATATATAGTATGAAATTTGACCTTTTAACTTTGTATCTTTAATTTCAGTGCTCCATCTTTCATTCTTCTCCAATATACCTGAGAGACACGGCATGCCCCCATTAAGCACAGTGGTTCAGGAGAGCAAAGATTCTGTGCTAAGTGGGAAGAATGCGGTGAGCGTGGGGTGGGGTGGGTTGTCCTGAATTGAAAATTACTAGTTTACACAATGGGAAAATGTTATAAAAAGCTGTGATTCAGAGGGAAGAAAGAGAGTTAAATCTACAGGAAAACATCAAACGTATGACATAGATCCATTTCTTTAACTTATATCCAAAAGGTTGGCGGTATTTAGAATCTCTTACTAGTGTGTTTTCTCCACTGGAGCTATTCCAGAGCCTCATTCGATTATCTGTACCAACGGTGAGGAGATGAAGCCCATCACTTGTAAAACATAAGCCATTAACTTTCCCATTGTGAGCAGTATTTGCTGCAATGAAAAATGCAATTCAGTTTATCTGTTCTTGTAATCAGCATACATTTAATGCTTGGTGATCTAGTTATTAAAACATATTAAAGGACAAGTTGATTATATTTAAAATTAATCATCCCTTTGGATTATTTGAACATAAACTATATATATATATATATATATTAAAACCATAAAAATAGAGGAAAACTGCAAAACCAAAGGGAAAAAATCCTGCCAAATATATTTCTCTTCAGAGAGTAAGCTGCGTTATCAAATTCAATTAAATGCATAGTTTAACAGTGAAATTTTAAATTAAACACCTTTCAAACATTTCATGTACAATTTTCAATCTAAAAATCATTCCATGGACTATTAAAAATCATTAATATTAGTATTTCCTATTAAAAAAACTTTAACAGGGGAAGGACAACTATTCTAGTCTCAAAATTTGTATTACTTTCAAAATAAACAAATTTGAAAAAGTAAAATTCTCATAGCCTAATTGATTTAAGTAAAAAGAATATTAAAAGAAACACAGATTTCATATAGCTCATCCTAATATATTTCTGATCCAGAATTAATTCTGAATCAGAATTTTAAACTACATAGAAATTCTATTGTAAAAATGCAGTTGAGGTACTTTGTCACCTGGATTGCAGCTGACTCACATGTAACACAAGTTACAAATTTTATTGTGACACAATGGCCATAAAATGTTACTATTCCTTTATTGTAGCTTCCTAAATGGCACTGAATTTGTATTAGTTAGCATCACTGGAGGGAAAAAAAGGTAACAAGTTCCAGAGAAGTTTCTGCACTAGAAAATTCAGGAACAGATGAAATGCCATACTTATTTGTATCCTGAAGAAAGACAACCATAATTTAGTTTATTTAAATTTAGTAATTGATTTATTGTGAATACCTTTTTTTCAAATCACAAAATTTGTAATCTGTCATATTTTTATTATTTGGTTTCATTCAAAATTTTCAATATAAAAATACTATCATTATATTTATATATTAATGCATTCTTTATTACCTGATTCAACAGCTTGTGACATTTTCCCATTATGCTGATCAAGAGTAATCAAACATCCTGATGCTCTCCTCACATCCCATAATTTTACTCTACTGTCAGCACTGAGAAGAAATAAATGTTACATTGACATATATAACTAGGACAGTGACTGCACGCCTCACCTGCCTTTCCGATGTTATGACACAAAGAGGCCTCAGTATATTTGTACATTTGGGTTGTTGTACTTTTGCCTTTTTAGCAAATAGTCAATAGTAGCACAAAGAAGTGAAAAATAGAAGAAAAAAAAGTAATTTTCTTAGAACAGAATGACAGAATTCTGCTGTTTTTCATGTTGATTTTAATGTCTTGAGCATTTTTCTCCTCAAGGACTATATAGGCTTAGAGCTTGTTCCTTAAGCCAGTTTGTTACTACATCCTTACTATTATTTGTTATTCAAATGTTGTCTAGATAATCAAGCAGTTAACTAATTTCAGTTTGCTTAAGAATCCATTTGGCATGAATTTGGTGGTGGTTTTTTTTTCTGTTTTATACGACAAAAAATTGAGAACAAAGTTGAATAATAAGGACAATATATTGTTATTTGGTTTCCTGTACTCAAATCAGTCATTGCCAGAGACAAGAACTACATACATGTCTCCTAGAAATTAGACACTTCTTTCCATTTTATTTCAAGGAAGGGCAAAGAAAAAAGGCAGAACCATGATCACATATTAATTGCAGTTTCTAAACTACTCATAAAGAAAATATAAATCAGCTCTACAGGTGCTATCATATCCTCACAGAAACCTCAACAATATTCTAACATTGGGTTTATCCAGGCCATTTTAATCAGAAAGAACATTGCATTGCATTTTATAAATTCTTTTCTCATTTATAAATCTTTTAAAATATATATTTAGGGTTTATCTCCTCCTATTACCTTGATTCATTTCACAGCTCACCATCAAACCTAGCCAATTAGAATAGTTAGCAAAAAGCTAGCATTTCCCATTCTCAAGTTGGTTTTCTTTTTTTCCAGCTGGGGAAACGTCTGCAATGGGATGTGTCTGAGGATTTAAGTCTTTTCTAAAACAGGTTAGATTTAGACATATCTGACTCTTAACACTGATTACTAGGTCCATTCTGGTACTGACCCAAATTGCTAGGGTACTATAAGAACTGAAAGCCTTCTTAGCTTCCCTCTGATTAGAGGAAAACCCAGTTAGGCAGAAATCTTGTCAATTTACCTTAGCAAGGACCCACAACCAGAACCCAGTTCCTCACCTTCACACCTCTTTAGCAAGCCTTTCTACAGCTACATTCTAGACCTTGTTCTATAGAACTTCAGAGATTGTAAATTTCAATGTCACATTCTGCAAACTATTAAAATAAGCTTCTTTGGGGACTAAACTGTGACAAAAAGGGAGAGCTGGCAGCTTTACAAAAATCCAGGCACATATCTTTATAAAACTAATCTGAATAGCTTTTGTAATAATTCTTCTGCAAAAAGTTTTATTAAAATGTCTGTATCAAAATCTTTGAATACTTCCTATCCCTTCAGTTTTTAATTTTCTTACTCTGACACACCATACTTCTATCTCATTAGGTCCTTGAACCCTTCTCTAAGCCTATAAGCCTATGATTTTATTTCCTTCCTTATATCCATGACTAACAATTTTCAGAAAATGTTAAGTCTGTGTCATTTACTGTTTTGATTTCTGTGGCTGAGTATAGTTGTGGTTTACACCTTTAACTCAGCACACAACATTGCCCAGCATACCTATGTGCCCCATACCAATTCCTAAGCCAATTCGTTAAAATGGTTACTCTAAATCTTTACTACCTTCCCTCAAAGCTGCATTTCCATTCCAGTATTTTCAACAGATGACATGAAGTTCTACTCCACTAAAAAAACAACGGAGGCCATTAGGTTTGCTTTTCTTGAGGTTACCTGTAAAGCCACAAATTTAACCACACTCATGTCTACCTTTTCCTCCTTCCATTTAGTCTCATGATGCCCTCCCTGTGTCAAATCAAGTGTCCCTTTAAAAATGCTACTATTTTTATATTAACAGAGTGCTTATTCTTTGTATGGAAAAATGACACAACACAGTTGTTTTACTGTTTTAATGGCAGTACTAGATTTGCATTGCTACTACACAGATTCTCTCGTTTTCTGTTTTAAAAGGTGAGCAGTTTCCACATAGATAGTCAGGATTACAATCATGATACAAAAGAAGATATCTTTTGGTTATAGGAATTAAAATCTGTAACTCAATTATTTTATTTTTAAGGGCCTAATTAATAACTAAATATGCATCTTACATAAATATAGTCTTTTCAAAATGCTTATCATTACTAACTTCAAAACAAAACAATTTGCAGTTTTACCTTGCAGTTGCCAAGGTGTATTCAGAACGCGGTGACCAGGAAACTGCCAGTATTTCTTGTCTGTGACCTGCAAATACAATTGTATGAAAAGTCTTGCAAAATATTTGAAAAATCAAAAGATACAGTGCAATTAATTTTGTCTGATTCTGAAGTGAAGACTAAATATTAAAAATAAATTTATATGATCATCATTTTTTCACTTTTATAATAATCTATGTTTAAATATCAATGTGAAGTCTTTGGGCATTTGTCACATGTGGCATTTTATTATAAAAGACGTAGTTTTGCTTTGGAAAGAAAAAGCAGAGCAAGTGAGTCTTTCTTTTTAAATATAGCTATTGGCCTAGTAAATTAATCCATGAGTAACTCAAGCTCAGTTGTTTATCTCCACAACAAAAGCCACTGCAACAAACCATACAAAATAAACATTCTAAGCAATAAAAATGTTTTCTAACTTTTCAGAGTTATAATAGAAAAAATTATTTTAATTCATTATAAAACAGCATTGTATGAA